GGAGGGTTCTACATGCCACATCACCCTCAAGCCGCCGCCATGCAGCATCCTGGCGGTCTATTCCCCCCACGGGGCCCGCCATTTGGCAGTCCACACCCAATGCAGGAACAGGCCCACCCTCAGGCTGCGGCCCAAGCGCAAATGGGCCTGGGAAGGCCGCCCGTCGGGCACAGCAATGACACGAGCCAGCTGGCAGGAGGCCCGTCGAACTCTGGCCTCAACGACATCCTGCTTGGAGGAGGCAGCAAGCAAGATAAAGCTGCCGGCTCGGATGCTGCCTGGGGAAACTCACCCTCCGCGGAAGGGGAGGAACCCAAGTGAGTGGGGCCCTCGTCTGCCGGGTACTGTTGATAAAGATAGACTTCCGCTTTTGTAGACTAGTATTTTATGCTGTTAGTAATACTTTTACCTGTGTCCTTTCTTATGGTTTCTGTTGTTCAACTGCAAAATGGAATTTAGTTGGGACTCTGCTTTGCGTGAGGAATGCTAGGCTGTGCGTGCTGTGTTTTATAGTAAGGGATTTTGCTGTAGACGAGGGACCTTTAGTTTCCCTTATGATATGAAGTTTGGGGACTGATGCTCCAGTGTTCAGAGAGTAATAATCGCCCACGAGTTTTTAGGGCGTCGAAAATTGTTCATGGCCTGTTTCTTCGAAAGCAAGGGTTCCAAAGCAGGTAAAGCGGTTCGCTCACAACAAGCTCGAATTTACTGTGATCATGTCCGAAGTGTCATCGAGCAGGTATATAGTAATTCCTAGTTTTAAGTAGTTCCTTTTGGTTAAGTTTTAAAGTCCCCGCTTAATATTTTGAAACAATTGACCGTGTAGGGGAACTGAGAATAATAGTCCGCGAGATGATGGTAGCCCAAGTGAAAGTGATCGTAAGAGATCAAGAAGGCGGCCTCATACCAAAACATACAAAGTGGCCATTAATTTTGCTGCTAAGATCCCAATGTCAGCATAGCCAATGCGCTTCGTGGCCATGAGACCGAACATTTCAAGAGGTTGTGAGAGTTCTTGATATTATGTTGAGGCAGAATGCTGCAAAAAAGTGAGTAGCCCTTTTATTTATTTTCAAATTAATGTCATTATTTTTACGTGGATTTATGGTTAAGGTGCGGCAAATTAACAACCTTTTTTGTTCTTGTGCTAAAGGGGCTGTCTTTTGGTGCAGCAGTCTTTTTTCCACAATGAACCAAGAAACTTTGTGGATTTGGGGGTGGTGTGGTTGGGTGCAGGGGATTTCATTCGAGCTTTAGGGTCAGTCAAAGTGGTCTTTCTTTGAATATGGGCAAGTTATTGTAGAACTAACTATTACTACAGTTCTATGTTATGTGAAGTAGCTCTTTAAGGTAACATTGACTTGCTTGCATAGATGTATCAACTACAATGATTGTGAAGCCTGGGCCAGTTGTCGATTTCCTTCTTTCAAATAAAAAAATCGATCATCCAGACAGGATTGATTGGGTTAAGGTAATCTCAATCAGCTTCTCATTCTAGGCAATAGTTTGTGATGAACTTAATCTTTTTGTGTTCTTGCAAAAGCTCCTGATTCATTTAAATAACAGGCAGAGAGAATGTTGAAGAATCTGAGAACCAACACAAATATGGACTACAAGATTTATTGTTTGAGTGATATGATATGCAGGGAACAATCGTGAGCTCTACATCATCATCATCATCATCATCATTATTATTATTACTATTATTATTATTATTATTATTATTATTATTATTATTATTATTATTATTATTATTATTATTATTATTATTATTATTATTATTTTGTATTGCTGTTATCTTATTAACTTAGGTGTCCCCTTATTACAGCACTTGGTGTAATCATAAACATAACAGTTAATCTGAAACTTTTTCATGTTTTTCAGATTCTTACTGAAACAAGGAAGAGCTGATGGGTCAACTGACGCACAGGAACGTAATGTGACTGTGTATGAGTATTTTGTTCAACATCGTGATATCCGGCTCATCCTATCCTTGTGTGAATGTTGGCAAACCAAACCGTCCTGCTTACATCCTATCGAGGTTTGATATTTTCAGAGTTAAACCTTTAAAACGACATACTAATTTCTATATTACTATATTAATTTTCGGACTTTTTTCTTCTCCATGTTGTAGCTATGCACGTTTGTCTCCTTACAAAGCTATACCAAATCCTTGTCCTATCTACAGAGAGCCTCTCTTGTAGAAAAATCTCGTCAGAAGCCACAAGAGAGGATAAACGCCTTGCAGCAAGTGAGGCTTAGTTAGCTGAAATTAAATAACTTGATGAAATTGTTTCTTATTGTTTTTTCCTGATAATTGTTGAGTCACAATGCAGGCGTTCAGCAGCAGCAAGTATTCTGCCGATCCACTTCTAGTATCTTCCGGAATTACAATCAGCACCGACTTCACTCGAATTACAATCAGCACCGACTCTACAGCAGCACCCAAGGAATGTTCCGCAGCCTACATTGAGAATTCGTAATTGTTGCAGTATTGTGTTTGTTTATTGTATACAATAATGGTTTCTCGGTCATGCTACTGTAAAAGCTCAATATCCGAGATGCATTCTTTTAAATTTATTTTTGTGTCTCATCACTGTTAAGAGTTGGTAAATGGGAGGACTTTGTCCAAGCAGAGGACGGTGGAACTTTAATCGTAAGGTATATCTTTATTTCTTCAGTCTCTATGAAAAGGTCTGTGTTGAATCATGTTTTGATTAAAAAACAAAATAAAATCAGGCAGCAACTGGTTGAGCCTGTAAAGCTCGAGAGGTGGGTCGTAGTGAACTTTTCTGCACGGTGTCGCATGGAAAAACTATGCGAGGACCTGATAAGATGTGGGCAGATGAAAGGCATAGTGAGTATATCAGCCATCGTTATTGTATTGTATGGATTATTATACAATGGGAAGTTGCATAGTTATCCTTCTCTAGACTAACTGAATATTTTCTATTCTGATTTTCTAGTCAATAACTCGACCTTATGAGGTCTTTCAAGAGAGGACAGAATATAGAAATGCCCCTCCTACTGTTAGGGTAGATAAGATGTTTGAGATGATCAAGTCACGACTTCCCGGAACTCCTCAGTTCATCCTCTGCCTTTTGTCAGACAGGAAAAACTCCGATGTTTATGGTAATTATTTTTGACATTCTTCAAGTAATTTGATCCATTTTTCTGATTTATTTATTTACTTATCTGTTTTGATTTGCAAGGCCCATGGAAGATGAAAAATCTCTCCGAATCCGGGATAGTGACTCAGTGCATTGCTCCCACAAGGGTTAACGATCAATACCTGACGAATGTTCTTCTGAAGATCAATGCCAAGGTAAGTTACATTTTCTGTCTTGTGCATAGTTGCTGCATATTGTCAATGCTTACATTTTCTTTCTTGTGCATAGTTGCTGCATATTGTCAATGCTTGAAATTTAGCTCTATTTTACCATTGTTTATGCTCTTATTACTTTTTGTGTCTATATTATCCAACAGCTTGGTGGCATCAACTCACTGTTAACAATCGAGCATACTTCAAATATACCCCTCGTTTCTCAAGTCCCCACGCTGATAATCGGGATGGATGTCTCGCATGGCTCTCCCGGTCGATCGGATGTTCCATCTATTGCTGCTGTATGTCATTTTCTTTAAACCTGATGCCCATCAGCCCATCATTTTTTTTTTTTTATTCCGAAAGTGAACCAATCTAAAAAAATGTCCTCTTTTTTTGCCTGTTTGAAATGCATGATTATTAGGTGGTTAGTTCAAGGCATTGGCCGCTCATATCTAAATACCAAGCAGCAATTCGTACTCAGTCACCAAAGATGGAGATGGTCGATTCCCTTTTCAAGAAAGTGTATGATACTGAGGACAAAGGCATTTTCAGGTAAATTGCATGTTCAAGCCGTGTAAAAATATTGTGCCACTTGCTTATTCAGCTGTTTACTATATTGTATGGCTTATAATTCGAGTTATATTTTTCGGGGAGGCAGTGATGGATTTCTACAGAAGTTCACGCAAGAAACCGGAGCAAATTATTATCTTTCGGTACTTTTGCTTAAAGAACTTACATTAAACAAGTTAATCTCCCTTATTAAGTTGTTGCATAAGTTCTGTAATTTGGGCTTTTTATAGGGATGGGGTGAGTGAGTCTCAGTTCAACCAAGTTCTCAACATCGAACTCGAGCAGATGATCGAGGTTTTTTTTTTCTGAAACCTTAAATCGTTTGTTTGTGATCAGAGTCGTGTTCTTTTGTTGGTTGCAATCGGAAGTGTGTGTATTTTTGTGCAGGCTTGTAAGTTTCTGGATGAGAAATGGGCTCCCAAATTTATGGTGGTCGTGGCACAAAGAACCATGACACGAAGTTTTTCCAGTCGAACAGCCCAAATAATGTTCCAGGAGGTTTACAATTCTGTCTCATCAATGCACAATCAACCAACCCCATTGGAATTAATAACTGATAATTACTCATGACCACTTGATAACATATAATTTCTAGGGACTATTAATCACTGATTATTAATCTCGACCAATTGATTACATATAATTTCTAGGGAGTGTAATCGATACTGGAATCTGCCACCCGAGGAACAATGATTTCTACATGTGTGCTCATGCTGGCATGATTGTGAGAATCTCTTGAATAACTTTCATTTCTTGCACGGAAAAATTTCACAAATGCTTTTTGGGTTTAGTATTATAATCGAACGTGTTAACGAAGGATGTGACATTTCATACAGGGGATCACTCGACCCACTCATTATCACGTTCTGTATGATGAGATTGGCTTCTCTGCAGATGATGTGTAGGAGCTCGTTCACTCACTATCCTACGTGTAAGAATATGTTTATATAGATATATAACTAACCCCAGTTTTTCAACTTAAGATTTTAATCGAGACGGGCTGTACTTTTTTGTTATAGGTATCAGAGAAGCACCACTGCCCTCTCCATAGGTAACGTAAATTCAACATGACATAAAAAAGTTTCTCATTCAAACTCAAAAACTTTTGATTTTCCTAAACACAAACATTTACTGACTTACTGTGTTTATACAATATGTGCAGCTCACTTTGCATTATTTTTTTCTGAAAAAAAATAAAAAATCTTCGGGCCCTTGGTATAATATCGTGATCGTTTGTCCGTGTTTTTCACGTGCAGTTGCTCCTATCTGTTACGCACACCTTGCGGCTGCCCAAATGTCACAGTTTATAAAATCAGACGATGTTTCGGACAAATCGAGCCAGCACAGTGGAGGGACTTCGACCAGTGGAGGAGCTTCTCCCAGCTCTCGGTTCTGCATGAGAGGATCACCAATACTATGTTCTTTTGCTGAGGATTTTGAATGCATGGGTTTTGTGTTGGATATTATTTGGCCAATATACTCAAGACTAGCAAAACAAATTAATTTATTATTACAAATATATAACTCACAATTCACACAAAACACTCTTTTATAAGCACTCACACTACACAAGCACACACCTCACTTATATTCACTCAGCACACAATATATAAATTCACTCTTTTCTTATCACTCACAGCACACACAATTCACTCTTCTTTCTCTTGATTTTTATTACACTTTGCTCACACACACCTCACGCATGTAACACACATATATATAGGTACATTAACTCATTTAATTCAACTAATTCATTCCTAACTACTAACTACTAACATCACTCTTACTAACTTCTAACTAATATAATTAAATGAGTATTCTAGAAAAATGAGCATTATTTTTATTTTAACACTCCCCCGTAATGCTCATTTTTATAATTTCGAGCCTTCGTGCAGAGTCTTGGATCTTGGTCTCAGTAGTGACACCGACATCTTCTCGAGTTATGTTTTCTTCTAGAATCATTCCAAGACGTGTTCGGAACTCTTCGAATTTTGAAAAATTGAGTCCTTTGGTAAAAACGTCAGCTACTTGATCTTCTGTACCAACGTACTTCATCTCTATCTCCCCTTTGAGCACTTTTTCTCTAATAAAGTGATAGTGAACTTCGACATGTTTTGTTCTCGCGTGGTATACGGGATTTTCTGCTATGCGTATAGCGGATTGATTATCACAATATAGTTGTACCGCATAGTTAAATGGCTGATGTAGATCTTTTAATAATTGCATAAGCCATGTGCTTTCCTGAGCCGCCATTGCAGCTGCTCGGTACTCGGCCTCTGCTGTTGATAGGGACACTGTTGGTTGCCTTTTGCTACACCATGATATTGCGGCCGATCCAAACTTGAACACATATCCAGTAGTGGACCTTCTCGTATCACCACATCCGGCATAGTCCGCGTCGCAATAGCCAACAATTTTTATATCTTTATTCCTTTGATAGAAAAGTACATAGTCAATTGTTCCTTTTACATACCTTAGTATGCGCCGGACTAACTCAAGGTGTGGCTTCTTTGGTTTCTCCATGAATCGACTTGCGATTCCTACTGCATATGAAATGTCTGGTCGTGTTAAGGTTAGATAAATTAGACTTCCGACCAGCTGCCTATACATAGTTGGATCCTCCAAGTCTTTTCCATATTGAGCACATATCTTGGCGTTTGCTTCAATTGGAGTCGATAACGGCTTGCAGTCAATCATGCCAAATTTCTTCAATAGATCTTTAGCATATTTTGACTGACACAATAAAAGACCGTCGCCTTTTTCTTTTAGTTCGAGTCCCAAAAAGTGCTTAAGTTCTCCAAGCTCTTTCATTTGGAATCTCACTAATAAATTCCTCCTGGTTTGTTGAATTTCTTCTTCATCGTCTCCAGTGATGATGATATCATCTACATATACTAGCACTATTGCTAGTTTTCTTTCTCGTTTCTTCACGAAGAGATTCGAGTCTGCTGGTGCAACAGAGTATCCACACTGAATTAAGAATTCAGCGATCTTACCGTACCATGCTCGTGGTGCTTGCTTTAACCCGTATAGAGCCTTCTTTAGTTTGCACACGTAGCCTGGATTCTCCTTATCCTCGAACCCTGCAGGTTGGACCATGTATATTTCTCTGTCGAGCTCACCATGTAGAAATGCATTCTTCACGTCCATCTGCCATAATTTCCAGGACTTGCTTGCTGCTAGTGCAATCAGTACTCGAACTGTTGTGATTTTTGCCACTGGGCTAAATGTCTCGTCGTAGTCTAGTCCGTACTGTTGTGAGAATCCACGTGCAACAAGCCGAGCTTTATATCTTTCAATTGATCCGTCAGGTCGCCTTTTTATTTTATAAACCCATTTACAAGATATGGGTTTAACTCCATCCGGTTTGGGTACTAAGTCCCATGTTTCATTTTGCCTTAGAGCCATAATCTCCTCATTCATCGCTTTTATCCATTCTTTATGTTTAATTGCTTCCTCAAATATTTGTGGCTCGTTTATACTTGTATCTTCTTCTAAGGCTATATTGGCGTACCTGGGATTTGGCCTCCTTTGTCTGGATGATCTCCGTAGTTGTTGTGGACTTGTCGGTACTTCGTCTCCTTCCTCTGCTGGTGGCTCAATCTCCTCGAGTTGAGTTGGCCTCGTCACTTCTGGAGTTACTTCATGTACACCGGTCTGCCACGGACTTTGAGTTGTTCTTGGTGACTCCCCTTCCTCGTCTGATTCTTCCATTCTTTGAGTTGCTTCTGGAAGATTCACCCATTTCTTGAGTTTATCCTCGATTTCTTTAGAATCTGGTAGCTCCAGCTTCTGTGGTGTCCACCAAGAGGATGCTTCGTCAAATATCACGTTGCGTGATGTGTAACACCGACCGGTTGATGGATCGCAGCATTTCCACCCTTTTCTTTGGCTGTCATATCCCAAGAATATGCATCTGATTGCCTTTTTGTCAAATTTGCTCCGTAAGTGACTTGGTACGAACACGTAATAGACGCATCCGAAGACTTTGAAGTGGGTAACAGTTGGTTTGATTTTCCATAGCTTTTCGAATGGTGACATAAATCCCAGCTTTGCTTGTGGTAGTCGATTTATCACGTGGGCCGCCGTCTTCATACATTCTGCCCAGAACCTCGCCGGTACGTTCTTTGCATGTATCATGCTTCGACACGTTTATGACAGGTGTCGATTTTTCCTTTCTGCTATGCCATTTTGCTGAGGTGTGTTTGGACACGTCAGCTGATGGTGTATCTTATGCTCCTTCAGAAATCGGGAGAACTCTCTTGATGTGTATTCTCCCCCGTTATCCGTGCGAAGGCACTGGATCTTATCTCCGACTTCTCTTTCAACAGATTCTTTGAAATCTTTAAACTTTGAGAATGCTTCTGATTTTTCTTTAATAAAGAATACTCAAACGTACCTTGAGAAGTCGTCGATAAATGTCACCATATAGTGCATACCGCTGATCGAAGGTTGTTTAACTGGCCCGAATATGTCAGAGTGAATTGTCTCTAAAGGCTTCTTTGCTCTGTAGCTTGAATCTTCGAATGGTAATTGATGTGCTTTACCATATTGACAGCCAGCGCAAATTGTGTTATCTCTTATTTCCAGTTGAGGGAGGCCCTTCAACATTGATTTCTTCATCATCACCTTAAGCTTATGATAGCTCACATGTCCCAGCCTTGCATGCCATAAATCAGCTGTTTCATTCTTTCGAGTCTTATCTACATAAGCAGACTCTGCTGACATTACGTAGATGGACTCGAGCTTTCGACCCTCCATGATCGGTGTACCGATAATTTTGAGTTTTTCGTACACCTTGACGTTATTGGGTCCAAAAATAACATAATTTCCCGAAGTTGTCAGTTGTGATACTGATAAAAGATTTTTCTTCATACCTGGGACATGATAGACGTCCTGCAGCTGCACTTGTCCAGGACTAAACCGTGGAGTGATGATCGTCTTGCCAATGTGAGCTATTGGCAACCTTGAATTGTTAGCAGTGACCACCATCCTGCCTCCGTTGTATTCACTGGTGTTCTGCAACTTTTCTTTGTCTCCTGTCATATGATTGGAGCATCTCGAGTCCACGATCCAATCATTCTCATAATCTATTCGTCTGGGGACAACGGCAGCCAATGCCGTCTCTTCGTTTAAGCTTGATTGCTCTTCTTTACGGGCCTCCTCAGATATAGTTGGGACGATCTCCTCGACGATCGCCATGGATGCCTCTATGTCCCACTCTTCTTCGCTATTGTTAGTCTCCTGGTTGTTTGACGTTGCTATATTCCCTTCAGCAACCTTTTTCCTATGCCAGCAGTCTCTGGCATAGTGATTCGGCTTGCCACATACGTAGCACGTGCCCTTTTTATTCCCTTTGGACGTCTGATATTTCTTATAACGATCTTGTTGGACCCCCTTTGCTTCAGAGCTTCTTTCTTCCTTTTTAATATATTCCTTCTTATCTCTTTTATATTGTTGGCGTGGTCTCATATTCTTTTTATAACTAAATAAAGCTTCATCTTCTTTCTTTAATGAGACTTCCGCCATTTGTCTGGTTAGCGCTTCTTGGTCGGCTAATATATTTTCAAGATTTACCAAAGAAGGCTGCTCAGACCAACCTTGTATTGCGGCTATAATCCCCCTAAATTCGGGTCTTAAGCCATGAATAATAATTCTTCTCATCTTAGCTTCTGAAACATTATCAGTAGGGTCCAATTCAGAGATTTCGCGACAAAGAGTCCGTACCTTGTTAAAGTAGTCGCGAATCGTCATCTCCCCTTGTTTGAGTGATAGGAGCTCGTTCTCGAGAAGTTGCAGCTTGAACTCATTCCTTTTTGAAAATAATATTCCCAGAGTGTCCCACGCTTGTTGTGGAGTGCTTGCGTCCCGTATGTGCTCCAACAGCTCTTTGTCAATAGTCGTCTTGAGTGCGTACATGGTCTTTCCCGCCTTTATCTTCCATTTACGTAAGGCCCCGACTTCTTCAGGTGGTGTGACCTCTTCTCCGCCAACAATTTCCCACAGGTCTTGGCCTTGGAGATACGACTCCATGCATGTCCTCCATGTGGTGTAATTTTGGTTATTGAGTTTATCCATTCCGCCTACTGATTGTAGATCTGCCATCGTGACTTGGACTACCTCCTCGTAACCAAGCAAGCCTGACGCGCTTCACAATTACTTTTAATTGTGCACGATGCCTTTGAACTCAATAATCTCCCCCTAGTTGACGGCAAGTGACGAGCCCTGAATATATTGGCACGAGCTTGAACTTTCCAGACGTGGCTCTGATACCACGTGTTAGATATTATTTGGCCAATATACTCAAGACTAGCAAAACAAATTAATTTATTATTACAAATATATAACTCACAATTCACACAAAACACTCTTTTATAAGCACTCACACTACACAAGCACACACCTCACTTATATTCACTCAGCACACAATATATAAATTCACTCTTTTCTTATCACTCACAGCACACACAATTCACTCTTCTTTCTCTTGATTTTTATTACACTTTGCTCACACACACCTCACGCATGTAACACACATATATATAGGTACATTAACTCATTTAATTCAACTAATTCATTCCTAACTACTAACTACTAACATCACTCTTACTAACTTCTAACTAATATAATTAAATGAGTATTCTAGAAAAATGAGCATTATTTTTATTTTAACATTTTGTTTCTTTTTGTGGGTGAAACCTGTTAATGCTATTTCCACTACATACCCTTAAAAACATTTGGTTCAGTGTTTCTTTAATATTTATCCTATGGGTTAGCATTGTGGTAAGGTACTATTTATCACGAATGTTGTTCGTTTTGCCTGATAATTTCAAATTTGTGGTGATCCAATGTCTTGATTCTAATGTTCCTTGTGCTATTTTGGTGCAAAAACAATGGTGCGGTGCAATTAAAAGGCCCTTATATGAAAATAGTACACTTTGATTTTGTACATTCTGGTTTGATGGTTTTACTGTAGTTTCTATGTTTAACTTAGCTTTAATTTGATCTTTCATTTGTACTTTTCTTCATTAAACTAGTATGAATCCCGTGCGATGCACGTGTAAGAGATATTTATTAGTATTTATATTTTAAAAAATTCAATGTTATCTGAATTTTAAATTGTGCTAAAATCACATAGAACATGTTTATTTAAAATTAGTACACAACCCGACAACGAAGCGCAATTTGAGTGGTAAGACGTTTCACCTATGACCAATAGGTCATGAATAGGTCATGAGTTCGAGTAACTGAGTAGGTAACTGAAAACACTATTAATCCTCCTTTAGAAGAAAAAAGGTAAAATTAGTACACAACTCATACGGTGCATGTAATTGTTAATAAAATATATTATATTCATTTCAAAATAAGTGTCATTTTAAATTTCTATTCAAAAATTCGATTTGACTACAATGTGATTCCTTAAAATAACTATTTTGGTCAAATTTTATCATATATTTAAAAATTTATATTTATATGAATAATAAGTATATTTCACATTAGCTAACATAATTGAATCTTTTACCATAAAACATACATACAAATTCTTAATTACCTATGTGAGAGACGGATGAAATCTGGCAAAATGCAATCGGGCGTCATGATATCACACAGTAGCTATAAAATTGAATCTTTTACAATAAATCATAACTAATTACACAAATTAAAGGAAGCATTTAATGCTTTTCCATTTTACTGAATAAAAAAATTCAAAAACTTTATTTCAATAAATCAACATGATTAAATTTACTTTAGTATAAATTTTTTTATTAAATGATTGTGTAACTAAAACTGTAGCAAGATTCGTCTATAAGCCAAGATATAGTTTTTTGTTAAAATTGCGCCACAAAAGATAATATATTCCACTACGTGCATTATAAAATACTTAAAATAAATGCGTCTTACGATATTATATTTTCAATACATGCATTAAATAAATGTGAAACATTTTAAAATAATATATTTATAGTGTAAAAACCGCAAATACTTCATGCTATATAATATTAAGATTATACTTGATCAACTTCCTAAATTAAAATATGATCTATTTTCAATATCTTATTTTAAGTGATATTAATTGCAATGATTATGAGAAGATATATATTGAGGAAATATATTTATTTATATTGAAATTAATAGATAAATTTGTTTCCATAATAAATGACAATGACCCTAAAATAAAAGCAAAATATTTTTGAAATTCAAATTAAATTCTATTGGCGGGATATTTTGAATTTTTTCCAAAAAAAAAAAAAAAATTAACGAAGTTAAAACTTTAAAAAATTTTAGGCAAAAATTCTACTTCTATTTCAGGCGAAGTTAAATTCCCTTCTACCGCCGATTTCAACCCGAATTCGAGCTCCGATCGCATCCTCCTCGGCCCGACTGCAACGGATCTAGCCGCGGAGAGGATATTCATCCTCCCC